CAGAGTTTATCATACATGAATCTGTTGTGTTATTTTAACAATTTAAGAAATGCAGACGCTGGTATTAAATGTTTACAACTATATTGGGTTAGGACTAGCTTGATTCTTGGTTATGAGTAATACAGAGTGTTGTTGATTGAAGAGTAAAAATATCAAGAATCTTTAATATGCGTAAAGCATGATGAAACACAGACTTATTAGTTTGTTCTCAGATTTAATACTTCGAATTTGTTGTAGGCTTTCTAGTCATTACTCAAAAATGAGAATTTATAAACTTGACATAGAGTATAATATTTTTTGTTGGCAAGAAGTGACATTAAATCATAAAACATCTCTTTCCAGTCCCTTGCAAGTGTCCGTCATCTTGATCATTTTTGAAGATTTAAAAACAAGTGTTTTCTGAAGTTTTTAAAATCTGGGTTGTTTACTGCATTATATTCTTTGTTTTAAAAGAAGTAAAATATTGTTTACTTTCTGTTATTAATGAATGTTTGTTATATATATATACACACTTCCACTATTTTGATTGTGTGTAGAAAAGTAATGTACATTTTTTAATATGTAGATGAATCTGTCTGACAAGTACTTCCAGTGTAGCTGTGTATAGAAGATCACATCGTAGTACAGGTGTAGTTTCCTTTCCAAACCTAGTTCCAGTAAACGATTCAACACATGTTTGAGTTGCATCACTTTGAGTTCAGTGTGCTCAGGGAGACGTGTAGCCTGTAGATGTTCCTTGATTACCTTGGTTACTGACTCCTACATAAGAAGTAACACCCATGACAACAAGGTTTTAAATGGTGTAAATAGCTTATTCTGATCTGGACCTTTTTTTTTTAAATTTATCATAGGAAAATATTCAGTCTTCTAGAGCTAGGTGATAAAATAAGTAAATTTGGCTATTAAATATGAAAGTTTGATAAACAAGTTGTAAGTTAGATTAAACATATAGCGAAAAGAGTATTCTAAAATCCATACAGAATATGTCTTGATATTATATATTCTGTTAAGCCAATAGAAAATTGTATTTATAAGATATATTTGTCAAACAGAAGAGCTTAGGGATAAATTACGTATATATAGTCTAAAAATATTTCCTGTTAACTATTAACATAAATTATTCTTAAGTTATTAGATACCACCTGAAAATTGAGAAACTGTGAAAAATGTTTCTTTTTTTCAAAAATAATAAGGTGATCTGAGATCATAATATAATAATTACTTTTCTACACATTTCTGTGATAGTTAAAATCTAAATCAAGGGAAAATATTCCACTAAAAAAAATGGGGACACATTTTTTTTTAGTACGTTATTAGCATGGTAACTGTATTTTAAGTATATCGGTGCTTCTTTACGAACATGTGAAAACCTGCATAAAAGCATTGGGACGGAAAATAACGGAAATATTTTATTGGCAGTGTATGTCTTGTAACAGTAGCTTATAATGTACATTTGTTTAGCCAAGCAGATACAGTGTGGTTGAAGAAAAGACACATTCTTGGATTGATGTTCACTTGTATCGTGTAAATACTGGGATCTAGTTTAGCCTGATATGCATTGTCTTTAGGTCATAGAACTTTCTGAGGCATTCAGCATACATTTGTGTCTAATTTTTCTTCATTTGAACTGGCCTGATGAAATGAGACGTATGGTACATACATTTCAAGTGTTTCCAAAAACAAAACTCTACAGTAATTTAACGGATGACCCCCAAACAGCCATTCTCTTTGTACTTATCTCTTTGTAAAAGTTGTTAAAAAGTAATACAAACATTTGATTATGTATATTGTTGAAAGTTGGCATTTAAATTGTGTAAAGTACCTATATATTCCAAATATACTGTTCATAACATGAATAAATAAATTAGATGTGTTCTAGCTGTGAATATATTGATTTTTAATATAAAAAAAAAGATGCAAAAGGAACCTTTGTTGTACAATTAAGGCTCAAATGAAGATGTAAAAATCCTTTTTGAAGTAATATTAAAGCTCAAATAAAGATGTTGATGTACATCTTGATGGGGGGGGGGGGGCAAAGAAGACTGACCTCGCATAGGGACCCTACACTATGGTGTAATTTGTATATATGTGTAAATCTAGCCTGACTAGAAATCTATCTCAGAAACTGCCATTTATTCCCCTTTAAGCTTGAAGAGGGGGGGGGGGTCAGCCACACCTGTTGATCCCTCCCAAGTATTGCCTGTGGTATTGTGTTACATGTGCTGACATATCACAAGGCTTCTTTCAATAATGTAGTACCAAAAAAATTGGCAAGAAATTACTAAACTCAGATTTAAAAAATAAATGAGGAAAAACTATGATTTTGGCAACATAATGTAGTTGTATGCTACGTAATCAACTTTTCACATATATTTCAATAACATTTTATCAGTTAAACTATACTTTTGACATGCTATCTGATTTTGAGGAAGTATAATTAGTTTTTGTTAAAATAACTTCTTCACTTGTCTGTATCAGTATTATCTGCTAAGTTCTTAATGGATTCTGTTTGTTCATCGTGATCATTGTCGAGGTAGGTATTTGGGTTTAAAACCAGGGGTGGTCAGACATTTGGATTTCTCTTCACCCCCAATCTGGGCTTATGAAGAATAGTTACATGGCTTGTCTCCATGGGAAAAGCTGCAAAAATTTGACCGGAAAGCTAATTTATTTACGTCAACCTGTTTGATAGTTCCCAAAGTTAGATTAGGGTTACTATTGGCTGTTTTGTGAACTGTTGTTTAGGGTTAGACTGTAAACAAAACTTGATTGGATGTTCAGAGAATGTTAAGACTGGTGTGATTGGTTGTTTAGAGCAGAAAACTGATAGCTTGTATCTTCAGATAATGGTAATTCTCTTGAATCAGGATCACACAAAATACTGTGTTTTTGTGAATAGTTAAACCATTTTGTTTTACATACATCAATTAACTGACGTGTACTGTACATTGTCAGTGAGAACAAGTGCCTAGTCTTATTTCCTGTGTAATTCACCAGAGGTCATTAACACGTTACTGAATATTGTCCTTTACATAAGATATATAAATATATTGCTGTTTGTCTAGTAGATCCAATGGGGAGGGTTCCTGTGAATTCTGATATTTTGTTGTGACAAACAAAATAAATATTGATGCATAGTTAAGGTATCCTTAAGACTTTGGTATATTTTCAAGATGATTTATATTTAAAATAGAATAAAAGCTTATGATTTGAACAGCGTGTATGAAACATTATGTATGGTTAACTTAAGTATGTATGTATATATCTAATGTTTTATGAACTTTCTTGGGTTTTTAGTTTTGTTTTTCACCTTACCCTTTTCCACCATATATATATATATCAACAAAAACTCAAGTGAAGGTTTTTCTCAAACTTCTTTAATTATTGGCACAAAAACCAGTTATTGAAAATGTTTTTCTGAATAGTCGTCCTCCCTACGGATATACAAGATGTGTTCAGTGTGGTGATCTTGTCCTCAAGGTTCTGAGCAACATATTGACAGGTTTCTAGTGGAAAATCAATGGTTTGGATATCTCCCTTCAGTTCTTGAATTGTTCGTGGATTGCTTTTGTAGACGTTATCTTTGCAATAACCCCATAGGAAGCAGTCGTGTTTGAAAGTTGAAGTGGCGATGTAGAATTCCACCATCTTTGTTCATTGTTCAGTTGTGAACATCATACTTGAGGTGTAGTTCATAGATTTATATTCTATAGATCCATAGAGTACTCTCTGAAAATATAAACAATGTAATATCAATGACAAAACAATTATGAGCAGAATGCCTGATTGGATTTTTTTGGCATGCTAATATTGAGAGTTATAAAACAGTTCAAATTTCACTCTCTACCTTCCAAAGTTTTAGATATTTTAATTCATTCTATATAAAACTTGTAATATATTGTTAAATGATCAACTAATTCGGTGTTATTTGGTTCAGATAGAATTAGTAGACCACTTACAGTTGTGTGTATTGTTGGATTTGGTCAAGACATCAATAAAAACCAAGGCTATTATAATATAGTCCCAGGATTAAATCTTAGATTTGTGAAACCAGATTTTTGTCAGTAACTAATTACATAGAGAAGAATATTAACTTTATAATACTAGAAATGTTTAATAAATTTAACTGTTGCACTTATTTTTAACTTATTTTTATTTTCATTCACTAGAAGATATATATATATATATATAGAGAGAGAGAGAGAGAATTGTAGAAAATTTACACAAAATGTTAGTAGAATTTTAAATGAAGCTTTGAATGAACATATGTTTGGTTTCTTATTAACATGTTTATATATCTATATTTCAAACATGCTGCTCTTCTGAGCTTTGAGAATATAATACTTAGATTAAGTTTGATTAATTTGAAATCTGTATGTTACCCAGATTATTTTGTTGAACATTATATTCTTCTCAGTATCTCTTTCGGCACATTTTATTGTTGAAATGTTAGTAAAATAAAACTTACTCAGTTTGTTTATACCTTTATAAAATTAGGAAGAACAATAATGTAAAGTGCTAAATTTTGAAATGTTGAGGAATTTCCTTAGTCATATTGGAGCCGATAATGTACCACCTTATTTAGCATTTCTCAAATGATGTGTTGTGATGTAGTTTCGACAAAGGTAAGAATACCTAAAAAAACAAAGTAAAAATATAGTGAGTACATTCAGGAATTTGTAGCTGTGTGTGTTTAGTTGACATGTCGTCCATACTTCTGCTAACATTATAACTTGTAGTTTACCAAAAAATTAACAAATTTAAAAATGGTGCTTCAAAATAAAATCAGATTTTTTTTTAAGCCTTTTAAATAAAAAAGTATACATTTTCAAAACCAAAATTTTATTAACATTTTACAACTGCCTTCAAGATGAGAATGTGTAGGAGTGTTGGTTTATCACTATGCAAGATAGAAACAAGTATTATTTTTAAAAATCATTTCAGAGTTTCCAGTTCACCCTTGCATGTAATAATATTTAAATGGCAAATACTTGTTAATTTCTGTATACTTCTCAAGTTTTAATAGTAAAGTTAGAAAACCTACATTTACTCTCCAGATAAATAAACATCTTTTATTTTGTCAAGTAAGTTAAAAAATAGTTTTATTTGAAATAAAAAATTAATATTTATTAAACTATCTGTAGTAGTAAAGATATTTTTATAACTTCATTGTCAAAATGTCTAACTTCCTTGTGTTAGCACTATAAATTTTGATAAACAACAACAACAAGTTTTAGTTTGATTTTTCAGAGGAAAAAAAAGGAATTCAGGGTGAGCTGCAATGAATGGATGTCCTTTTACTGCTCTAATGAACTCAAACCTTGCATACAGTACCCATCAGTATTATTAGTAAAGATTAAATGAACCAGTTAAATAGTTTTTTTTCTGTCTTATGACTGGGGGTAGGGGGAGTAACATCTTAAGTGAGAGAAGAAGGTGGATGTCAATGGTAGGATGTTTGTAGAAGTGTTAAAAACAAGTGTGTCAAGGATGAGTTTTATATTTAACTATGTATATAACGTTGTAATTATTTCTTAGAACAAACTAATGTATAGGACTGGTCTCGTTTAATAAACTCTGTGTTATTTAAATTATTCTATATGAAGAGTTCAAATGATATTTCACACAGAAGTACAAACAACATATCTTTGCTTAGGGTAAAGTGTGTCGCAAATTATTAGAAATGCATATATATAGAGAAAACAGTATACAGTAGTGTTTGTTATCTAAGAACAATATTATATAATCCACATTAAAGCTAAAGATAAATGTACATATCACACGCCTAAACACTGATTAAAAAATTAATGTCTGTCTGCTGTATTAAGAACGGTTGACCAACCTTTTTGGCCGTTTTGCAAATTTTAGGTTCTGAAGTCTGAGAAAGGTACCACAGTGTGAAATGCATTTTAACATGTTAACTTGGCCCAGTAAGGACCATTAATTAATTAATTTAATTAAATGTATTTAGCTATGCTTTTGAATTTCATTTCTGCCTTATGCTATATATATATTTTTTAGTATTAAAGCTGGATGTTGTAAAGATTAACGTCAAATAATCATATAAAAAGGTTGATCTATATTTCATTTGATATTTGCCATTGACATCTTGGATTTATGATGCATATTGATACAATAACTAAAGGGGATGATTTTGAATGACCTTATAGTAATGTCGTCGGGTAGGCCCACAGCACTTAAAGGGAATGATTTTGAATAACCTTAATAGTAATGTCGTCGGGTAGGCCCACAGCACTTAAAGGGAATGATTTTGAATGACCTTAATAGTAATGTCGTCGGGTAGGCCCACAGCACTTAAATATTCATGTACCTCTACATTTATAAATTACTTGCTGGACAACTGACTTACAAATCATCTTGTATATATATATATATATATATGCAGATATACATTTTATTATATAACCAGTAACAGATGGTGGTACGAACTTTTCTGCCCTCCTGGTGAATCAGTGGTAAGGTTTAGGACTTACAACGCTAAATCAGGTTTCGATGGATAAAGCACAGATATCTTAACGAACAAATTTTCCCAATATCGTTAAGTATAGTAACAACTGCACTGATGGCTTTGGTTATGTCTTTTAACTCGGCTTGCAGGCTGACGATCAACATTTTCAGATAGTCTAGAGATGAGGCCAAGAATTACTTCAAAAGTATTTATGTTAGAGAATCAGCTGCTTCTGTAGCTTTAAAACACGAAACAACAGAAGGATGAAGAAGTTGAAATATTTCACTGATGGCTTTGGTTATGTCTTTTTAACTCGGCTTGCAGGCTGACGATCAACATTTTCAGATAGTCTAGAGATGAAGCCAAGAATTACTTCAAAAGTATTTATGTTAGAGAATCAGCTGCTTCTGTAGCTTTAAAACACGAAACAACAGAAGGATGAAGAAGTTGAAACATTTCAAACGCATGTAGTCGTTGCGTGTACTTTGTTCATCTGTGCATTTTCAGTTACGTCATCTAATGCACGTGTTGTCTTTAGATGTGCATCGAAAAAAAATTTTTTGCAGCTCGACATATAACTCTCATATTTCAAATGTTGGTGTCTTGCAGGCTTATTGCCACTACAAGATTTAAGCAACGTGTTATAATAATGGTTGCAGGATGTTAGCTTTTCTGCAAGAGTGCTAATTGTGATCCCAGTATCACATTCTAATAAATCAATCAGATCTTCCTCTATGTATAGCTCTAGTTCTTTGCTATTTTTCTGTACAACTGAATGTCAGTAAGTTCGTCGGCTATAAAAGCGAACTGCTACGCTGTATTGACGTTCTCAATAATGATTTTACTAATTTGGTCACCGATAATATACACTCTGCTATCAAAAGTCATGGAATACGGGTAGTTATGAATAATAGATGTCTTTATTCCAAGAAATTACCTAGCGTGTTGGCCCACCTTTGGCCTTAACGACTGCTTCAATGCATCGTGGAAGACTGTCTACTAATTACTGGTAGAAAGCTGGTGGTTTTGTGCTCCACTCCTTTAAAGCATTAGTAAGCTCCGCTACTGAAGAGGGCCATATTGGCCTTGCCATGATTCTGCGCTCCAGTTCATCCCAAAGATATTGTTGAGTCAGCGAGATCACGTGACTATTCTCACACCCTCTGCTTTCTAGAACTATCCTGTACCTTGGCGAATG